GCTGGGATGTCCGCTCCGTTCCGTCCTTGTGATACTTCTGCCCTGCGATTCCCTGGCAATCGTGGCTCAGGGCAACAGCTCCCTGAGTTCAGCATCCAACCCAAAGAAGCCGCTGTGACTTGGGCATTTGGGATCATTTGGGCATAAATCCAGGCAGTGCAACATGATCGGTTTTCTCTTGTCTGAACTCGAGCCGCTCGCCTGTCATCATCGGCCAGCGGCTTGACCATCCTGGCAGTGCAACGGACTTGCAAGCAAGCTGTCACAGTGCGATGCTTCTCAAGGAGAAGCCAATCACTAGCAAGCGTGCATCTTCCATTTGCATGTCCCAATGCTCCTAGAGCATTAAACCGTGATTCAAAAAGCATGTCAAGCATGCATGCAAACCCAGGGGAGAAGACCCCTTGCATGTGGCATTCAACAGCAGAAGGCTTGTGAGAAAGAGAACCAAAGCTCCCCGAGGCAGGTGTTTCGGGAGAAACTGAGACCCCTTTGCACATGCTCGTCCAGAATGCGTTGCCGTGCATTGTTCATAGCACTGCTATGGAAGCATACCCAGCAGTATCTTCTGAACATCAAATTTGGTGAACCTGCTGGAACACAAGCTCTTGGCTAAACTTTAACACCCACGTGGACAAAAGGCAACACGTGACGCACAGGACGCTCCTACCTCCAGCCCCCTGCCCTCCCAGTTCAGCATGCCTGGGCCGCAATCCTGACAAAGCAACCGGTCTGCGCATATGTACGTGTGTAGGCTCAGGTATGTTCGTACATGGGTTTACGTTCACGTACGTGTCTGAATGTGCAGGATGGACTATTCGTCCGCGTGCGTGCGTGGCGTGGCGTGGCGTGGCGTGGCGTGGCGTGGCGTGGCGTGGCGTGGCGTGGCGTGGCGTGGCGTGGCGTGGCGTGGCGTGGCGTGGCGTGGCGTGGCGTGGCGTGGCGTGGCGTGGCGTGGCGTGGCGTGGCGTGGCGTGGCGTGGCGTGGCGTGGCGTGGCGTGGTGGCGTGGCGTGGCGTGGCGTGGCGTGGCGTGGCGTGGCGTGGCGTGGCGTGGCGTGGCGTGGCGTGGCGTGGCGTGGCGTGGCGTGGCGTGGCGTGGCGTGGCGTGGCGTGGCGTGGCGTGGCGTGGCGTGGCGTGGCGTGGCGTGGCGTGGCGTGTGCGTGCCGTGCCGTGCCGTGCCGTGCCGTGCCGTGCCGTGCCGTGCCGTGCCGTGCCGTGCCGTGCCGTGCCGTGCCGTGCCGTGCCGTGCCGTGCGGTGCGTGCGTGCGTGCGTGCGCGCGTGCGCGCGTGCGCGCGGGCGTGCGTGCGTGCGTGCGTGCGTGCGTGCACGCGTGCGTGCGTGCGTGCGTGGGTGTGTGTGTGTGTGTGCGGGCATGTAAGTCTATCCTTGATGTAATGTAATGCAATGCCATGCAAAGCAACGCAGTGCGAATGTAATGTAATGTTTGTATGTATGTGTGTGTGCATGTATGTCTGTATGTATGTATGCATGCGTGGATGCATGCAAAAATGGACGGAGAAATGGATGGATGGATAGTTGGATGGTTGGATGGTTGGATGGATGGATGGATGGATGGATGGATGGATGGATGGATGGATGGATGGATGGGTGGATGGATAACTTGATGGGTAATGGATGGATGAATGGATGGATGGATGGATAGCTTGATGGGTAAATTATGGTTGAATGGAGGGATGGATGGATGGATGGATGGATGCATAGATAAAAGGATGCATGAGTTTGTAGATGTATGGATGTATGGATGTTGCATGTACGGATGTACGGATGTATAGATGCATGGATGCGTGCATGCATGCATGTACGGATGTCTTGAACTCATCGATGTCTGCATGTATGCACGTTGTTGTGGGTCGGTCTGTCCGTCCGCCTGTCCGTCTGTCTTCCTGTAAGTACCTACGTATGTATGTATGTATGTATGTATGTATGTATGTATGTGGGTATGCATGTCACTTGTCACGAAACAGCCAAAGAGGGCCGAGTAGTCGCCCCGCAAAGGAAAAAATAAGTTACGAAGCATTTGAATGGCAACAAGGCAGAAATCCAGCTGCGCAGTGTGTCTTCAAGCTCAAAGAGCGAGGGCAACCCTCCCCGTAGGGTATACCGCTGACATGTCTTGTTGCACCCAAAGCTCTTCCCCAGCATCCCCAGCATCCCCTGCATCACCTGCACGCAGGCTCAAACATCTGGACCCCAAAACATCCCCGACATCCCTGGCCTTGCAACGGGCTCCTGACGCCACGTTGCCCAACCTTCAAAAAACTGCAAAAATCTGCGCCAGCATCACTGCCAACATCCTCTGCATCTTCACCGGCATCCCCCCGCATTCCTGCATCACCAGCATCCGGGCTTTCCAGCATCCCTTGCCTCCCTTGCATCCACTGCATCGCGCCAACCCTCACCCTAAAGCGGGGCTGGCGCCACTATGCGGAAAAACATCGCAAATACCGTGTTGTTGGTCATTCTTCACGAGTTTTTTGGCGGGGCTTCGAGCGGATGCCGGGACGCAGTCTTAGTCTGATTGGCTTTGGCTGTACGCCACGTGCGGCGCGCGTGCGCGCCGTACGAGCACGCACGCGTGTACGCACGCATGCGCACACGCGATCACGCGGACACGCGCTGGGAATGGGTGGGTGGGAACGGGTGGGTAGGAATGGGTGGGATGGGTGGGCGAGCGATGAAAGTTGTGGGAGGGTGGGTGGGGTGGGTGGGAGCAACCCCTGCAGCCAACCAGCGCAGCTGGTGATGGCGAAGCCCTAGGATTCAAGCCCCTTTGGAGTTTTGAACAGGCAGTTGAAACTGGCTTCCTGGATAAAATGTGTAGCATCTACCTCCACCAAGGGAGAAAAAAATTCAGCGTTTATTTTGATAGTACTCCTTTCCTGGGGTTGGATTGAAAATTACAGGGATGGCAAAGGAAAATGACATGTTTTTTTTGGGGGGAGAAATTCCAGGGGCAGGTCCCGTATTCTGTTGTAAAATGCCAAACGAACTTTAAGACCGGGACATGACAAGTAAGATTTAAAGATGATGGTCATCAAGGCGTAGATCCAGAAGCGCTTGGGTGCTTCTCAAGCTTCCTCTTGGCTTCCCTTTCGACTCAACCAACCAGGGTTGTCCGAATCAAAAGGCGCATACCCACTTGAGGTTGGACGGCTCGGGATGGGAGGAGGGGCCCGCAAGGAATCGAATCCGAAACCAGCGCTCCCCCCATTGACTAAACTTGACCAAGGTCTGAATCCAGAGGAGCCCTCAGTATGTCGACGCTGACTGCATAGCTGCTTGCCTTGTAAGACTAGTGACCATTTGCCCACACACTTAAAAGTGTATAAGTAACAAATCATACTGTGGATGAACGAAATCCTGCACCACCTAAGAAGCCCTGGAATGATAATTCCCCTATAATTGCCAACAAACAAGGTTTCAAAGTGGTGCAGGATTTCATTGTGATCTGTGAACGTCTTCGCCGCGTACTATTTGCTTTGGGCCAATGCCCAGCCTGGAGTGCTCTCCCGAGCGCGTGGTGTCCTGAGACAAGCCAATGGATCCTAAAGGATACAGGGCTCCCGAGATTTCCCCGAACACGCCACAGGAACTCACTACTCACTTTAGAACTGTAGATTGGCAACCAAAAGGTGATGTTCGAAGCCACGAAAAGGCAGACAAAAAGGGATCGACCAACCAGTGGGGCAAAACACCATGGTAGAAAAGCCCAGCGCTTAAACTGAAGGCACCGGATTTCTGTGCTCTGTCTCCTTTGCAGGTGTTTGTCATGTGTGTGTGCGTGTGTGCTGTGTTTTACGGAGTCCGCGTCATAAGGGGCCATCCATTGTTGGGTCCCTGTTCTAAGAGCAGCCCCCGGCTCCTCATGGCAGGCGCCGGCAAACGTGTTGCCTGGCCCGCCTGAAGGCATCTTTCACAGCTTCAAATGTGAAAGAGCCACCTGAAAAGTAAGAAACTCCCCAACACCGCCGACATGTATTTGTCCTTTGCTCGTCTCGGATCGGTTGGTCGTGGTCCCTCTCTGCTCAGAATGCCTGCCCAAAGTGCGCCTCGGAGAGCCCAGCCATCTTCTCGACAGGTGGTCTGGCCGCCGCATGTTGTCGCAGCGAGGTGACAAAGACAATCCGAAGTATGTCACCTCCATCCGGCCTACCTGCCTGCATGTCGCGTCACGGCATTTCATCATCTGTGGTGGGAGACCTTGCTGCTGTTCAGTTGCATTGCAGACCGTTCATTCTACCATAATGCTCACGCCTCAAATACCTTGTTCGAGCCTAGCAGCACGTGGCGCAAATGAAAACCTCTTGGGGTCCACCGAAGAGGACCCAAAATCAAAAGATGGAAAATAGTCAATGCAACGGACTCGACTGACCCCGAACCTTCACCCCTGAGTTTTTGCCTGCGGCTCAGGATCACGCGGCTTGGACTTGCCAGCCTCAAGGCCTCTCGCATTCTCAAAAGCCCCCAGCCTGACGCTGTCCATGACAGCCTTGCGGGGAATCAAGCCTCCCGATTGGTGCTTCAGCCCTTACCTTCGCGGTAATAGATCCAAGCATGCCCAACGACCCTCAAATTCCCGAAAACCTGCCACCCAACGCCATGCACGTGGCCCAGCCTGACTCACCGCACCGGTCACTACAGCAAATGCTGCGACCAAAGCGGCTTCGAGGAACAAAAGCAAGAGGTCGGGGCTCGCAGATTCCGAGCCTTGAAATTAGTGATCCTTCAAATGACCGGCTTCCTTTTCCCTTCAAATCAATCAGAAAGTGCTTCCCTATTCTGCGAAAGACCCAAAGCAGGCTACGGGAGCAAAGCACCAACAACCAATACCCGGGCATTGGCAAAAGAACACCTAAGTTATTATTGTCTGCAACTGTTCAAGGCTTGTGATGATCGCAGAAACGACGTTTCTGGCTTGACAGACCATATCCTGCGCCATCCGATCATCCGACGGCATCCATATCGTGCGGCTCTCCTTTGCCGCCTTCTCCTTCTTCTCGGGCTTCCTGCGAGCAAGCGGCATGGGCTTTGGCCACTGGCCCCTGGGGCGCGGTGAACGTCAGCCGTCAGCCGCTGCTGATGAGCTTCGGGTTCTGGAGACCTAAAAAAGACCTTCGCACACCGAGGGATTTTCACGACAGCCGCAGAAAAATTCGGACTTACCGCACGAAACTTGCTGGTCTCTCAGTGGATTGGGAGGACTGAAACGTCGAAACAGGACGGATTTGCACAGATGGGTGTGTGCCAAAATAGGATAACCCCTAAAATGAGCAAGCTTATAAATCAAATTATTAACCATAGCTAAAAATGACGATGCTTCCCCTTAAACCCTCCCCAAATGATACCCTCGACAGGAGACGTGCTCTCCCACTCGCAGGCCTTCTTGCGGAGTCGGACCTTCCAAGGAGCTGTCGGGTCTAAACGACAGCTCTTGAGAGGTCTAAACAACTTGCAGGTGTATTTATTTAATTTGTGTCAAGTTGTGGGATTCTCCAAAAAGAAGAGGCAGGTATATTCCGATATTCCTGTCATCTCTAATAGGTCAGGCATGACGCTTGATGAAAGTGGACGAAAAGTGCTGGATCAAGGAGACTCCCGCGCAAACAAAGGGCTCGTGTCGTAGGACACTTAGGTCTCCGAGGGTGCCTCGGATTTGCGTTGGCCATGTTGGGCTCATCAAACACGGCGGCATATGCCAGTCCAAACAGGAATCCAAACTTGTGCAATTGTTGATCATTTGTCTGCAAAATGCTCGATTCCAACAACTGCCAAACAAACAGCGTCAGGCCATGTGAGTCACATTGTGTTGGTGGGCAAAGAATCACCATGCAAGCGATTATCAAGCACCGCTTTGCAGAGTTTTCTGCCTAAACCCTGAAGAGCACGTAGGCTACCTTGACCTGCATGGCCTTTGAAAGATGTGGTTATCAAAAATTGAATGAGGATTATTTGGCCTTCCCTGACATTTGATAAACATTTTCCAACGAAAAACCACGAGAGGGTCATTCCATTCTGAGCTGCAATTCGGGTGTTGCAACCTTGCGGAGCTCTATGTGGTCGGCCTCGAGCGCGAGCCGTTCCGCCGTCTCCGCCTCGGAGAAGGGATAGCCCACGTAAGCTATATAGAGGCAAGTGAGCTGTGTGTTGATTCTCTTCTTCAAGGCTACCTTAGAAAGTCGTATTGGAATGGTTAAATGTTGACTCAAAACCCCATCTGTTAGTTGGGAAACCCTGTTTAAACCTTCCAACAATCATGGAAGCGGACAGGATACCCCTTGTTGTAGTGGCGGGTCTTCCAAATCACTGCGATCTTCCATGGTATGCACAACGCGGTTCATGGTTCTAAGACGGTATGAAGCAAGGGGGGCATTGCCTGGACGTCCGTGTACAGTTTTAAGAGCCCAGCACCTGGGCACTGCGGATATGACAGTTCCAAGGGTGCAGGTGGTTTCTCAGCGCCAAAGTGACGAACTCCATGCGGCTCAATGGGCTAGAGCCATCTGAGTGCGCCACGACCGCGAGCGACTTTTCCTAGGCAGGCAGCGAGTTCGTCTGGCATTCAGCTTAGACATGAAAACACGTTACCAAGCTTGCTTGCTGGTAAGCTTGACAGGAAAATCGGATGCAAAGCGGCCCTGGCCATATCCGGGGCCCTTTTCTTGTGCCTGGCTTCGTTTCGCCACGGTTTGGCCATGGGGCACCGATATGGCTCTTCACTCAAAGCGAACCGGGGCGCCGCGCCGCTTCTCTCGCCGCGACTTGCTGCCTGGGGCAGTGAGTTGCACAAGTCCAGTATGGAAACCGGAAGAAACAAAAGAGCAGATTGTGGATTCCCGTTTCTTTTTGTTTGCGGTATGGGGACGGTCCAATACGAAGCTTGCACTCGGGTTTCCAAACAACTGGCTCTGAAACTCTCACGGGCATACGACCCAATCAAGCGGCTGCTGACTGAGCCACGTGTTCTTCATACTCTGCCAACCTATCAATCTTCATTGCAGCTGAAATTGTCATGCGGGCAAGGGGAAAAAAACAGAGCTGGGTCGCTTTTTGGGCTTGCTTTGGAGGGGAAGGTCCCAGCCCACATTTTCAACTCAACCTTCTTCCAATCCTAGGTGTGCTTACCAAGAGGAAGCCCATTTTCAGGGCCACTGGAACCCCCACCCAACCACCCGCCCAATTTGGCAAACAGGGACCTGCACTGCTTGCGGCCCGGCGTCCACGCCGGCGCTCACGCGACCTTCGGGACCATCATCCAAGTTGCCATGGAACCAACCAGAGGGGGAAATGGTCTGCCAGAACCCCCAGTCAAGTTCCATGTTCATGGGAAAGTATCTGAACAAGTTGTTCTGATTCACAAAGCAGAAATTGCCCATCACGGGCAAGTGCCCATCACGAGCTTCTTGCTTCTTCAGATCGGGGAGCTCACTTCCTAACTCGTCCGTTTCTAGCTCCACGCACGTCCTCGCCCCCAGGCTTTTTGCCAGCATCATGAAAGTCAGGACACAGGCTGAATCTGGACAAAGCGACTCCCTTGAAACCATCTGACCCCTTGGGTGAGCTCGTGATTCGTGCAGAAGCTATTCCAACACGATCGTGATGGTGAGCTCGTCAAGCCCGAAGGGCCCAAAAAAATGGAACCATCTGCCAGAGCATGTCAATGGCTAGAGCGGATCATGGCCGGAAAACGCGGTTCACCGGGCAACCCCTAAGAAGCCCGTGGCCAATCCCTTGATTACCACATGTTTCCACCACTCTTCAAACAACCCCTTTCCCTTGAAAGTATTCCACAATCCTTTCCTGATAACAAAGGTTCCCCTGATCATAATCCCAGAGTCCCCAATAAGCTGACCCGGCCGCAAACTCTTAGGGAGGAACCCGTCCGCCCAAGGCTCAGACGAGCTCGAGCGAGCCATTCTGCACCTGCTGGGCTGCACGCTCGCTTGCCGCCATCCGAAATGGAGTCACTGGGCAGCCTCTTTACTTTAACTCGCTCCAAACTGCCGGACACTTGAAAGGCTTCTCACATGGCCATGGGTCGAGATACCCCCAGTGAACATCCCAATCCAACCACTAAAATAGACTAAAATGGGTGGTGCACCTACCCCAAAATGGGATTTCATTGGTCTTGACAACAGCTTCTCACATGGATAGAGAGGCGGCGCATCTTGGGAACCTCTTGGGGCAGACCCAGGCCCGGCAGCTCACAGTCGAGACACTCGCCTGCAGTCTGCCGCTGCCCATGGGGGCGCGCACCTCAGTACGTGCAGGGCACACGCCCTGGGCATGGCTACCCTGTCATAGTTCAGAACTCAAAAAATAGAAGAAGAAAAACGGGACCCTGTCACGGCGCAACAAAACAGAAACCCATGGATTGGCAATTTGATCTTCAAACCAAATGTCCAACACCCTCCGTCAACATCAAACATGTTCATTTAAGAGACTGGCACTGGCGGCAAAGGTGATACTGATTGCCCCTAGGCTCGCGGCAGCGCGGAAAGTGGCCCTTTGGCCCTCTGGCTCTGAGACTAGAAGTGGCCACCAAGGCTCAAGCAATCAGAATGGAATGCGAGCACTTCATCAAATATGTGTTGGCTTTTATTCGGGGAGTTGCCTTGCTTTGCAAAATATGCAAAAACACACAACAACAATTGACGTGAGATTCCACATGTTTGCCTCCTGTTCAGGGCATGTCAGAGATGTCAGCTCAACAGTCAGTATGCCCAATCTGCCGAAGCAAAAAGGTGTGCAAATGGCAGGGACTTCCTCGAGTGTTGAATTCGTGTCTTCCCATGTGACGAAGCCTTTCAACCTTCATGTTGAGTTAAATTCTGAAGGTTGCAATTTGTCGCGCACCACAAAGAACAGGCAAGCATTGTCGTAAGTTTCCTCGACTTCACAACCAAGTCCACTGCTCTTTGTTCCCATTCACTAGCAAGCACGGTGCTTCTAGCCGTTCTGAGAGTGGCCATACTGTGCTGGAGGAGGGTTCTGTACGCTGCATGGCGGCAAGATATCATGTCGCAGTTTGTGCTTCGGGCAGCTGCCATCGGTGATATCACCAGTCCGCCCAAGCAACATCGACTGAAGCACCCGACAGCCAGGATCCTGGAAGCAAGGACAAGAAAGTTTCCCTGCGGCTCCAAGGTATAAATTTGCAAATTGGCAGAAATGAAAGCCTTTGCCACAAACGGTTGGCCTCGAGATAGGCCGGGAACATCCACATGTGCGTGTGATCCGTGGGCCACAGAAAGGGTGGCAAGGAAGCGCAGCGTTTGCCAATCTCAATGGCCTGGCTCGGAGTTCAGTCGGCAAGAATTTGGATGCCAGTACTTTGCCAAGATGTATATACATATGTAGAAATTGTCAAAAGAAGATTACCAGGAACTTCTCACTGCAGCTAGCTTTCCAAGAATGCATGCGCCTGCGTGTGATCTTTTAGCGTGGATACAATGCGCATGAACAACGCGAACACTGTCAAATAGACACGCGCTGACAACGTGGCCTTGTGTGTGAAAAGCGCAAACCACCTCGGTCGCCACAGTCTCATAACGAGCTCAGAGCGGTGTTTTGGGGCGATCCTAGAAAGATGCGGTGGGTCGACCCTCAAAACCTCGTGGTTGTTTAGATATATTTTTTTCGCTTCTCACGCGCAAACCTAAACCCTCCGACCCTCAGACCCTCAAAAGCCTCAGACCCTCACACTCTCAAACCCTCAGACCTTCAAACCTCCCTCAAACCCTCAGACTTTCAAACCCTCAGCCCCTCAGACCCTCAAACCCCAAACCCTCAGACCCTCAAACGCTCAGACCCTGACACCCTCAAAACCCTCAGACTCTCAAGCTCTTAGCCCGCACAGACCCTTAAACCATCAGACCCTCAGACCCTTAAACCATTCGACGACCCTCAGACCCTTAACCTTCAAACCCTCAACCCTCAAACCCTCAAACCTCCCTCAAACCTTCAGACTTTCAAACTCTCAGACCCTCAGACTCTCAAACCCGCTCATGACCGCGCTTACAAGGAATTCCTCGTTCAAGATCAAAATTGCAATGATCTATCCCCATCACGATGCATGTCAAAGAGAGTACCCAGCCATTTCAGGCAAGATCGAAAACTTGTTCAGCGCATCGGTGAAGCAGGCGTGCAGCCTAGAATATCAACAACCATCACAGACCTCAAACTTCCTTGCGTTGGACACACAAAGTCCTTCCGTGCACCACCCGTCTGGATATGTTAAATCAAAGTAAGTCGCAGGATCCACTCCTCATGGTGCCCTTCGTCATTTCCTTTGAGTTTCAGCCCTGCGACCAACCCCCCCTAAGTCCCAAAGACCAAGTTGGAACAATTTAGTATGCCGTCTTTAACAAATCCAAGAACGCTTTTGACAAGTCGATGCAAACGCCCCCAATTATCTTCTGATTTTCACCTTAGCTCGACTCTCAAACCCTCAAGCTTCTCGGACCCTCAGACCCTCATTAAACTCAGTCGCTCATTTTTAAAAACCAAATTTTCCAAGCCATTTTAAACTGGACGTGGACGGACAAAGAGCCAAATACCGCACTTTGCAAAGCTGTCGCTGGAATTTGGGCGACGTTTTGGCGTTCAGTGTTGCGGACAATCCAGAATCGAAAATGTGACTAAACAGACTAAACAGCTGCATTTACTTTGCCAAACACAAAACGTAACAATTGCGGCCCTGCAACTATTTTGGCTGCAAACCGTTATATATATATACATATTTCTTGATTCATTTTTTCCTGATAAAGAAAGAGAAATCGCAAAAAGACGCAAACGAAACAAAGTCAAGGTGCGGCACAAACACCTTTAACTGCATTTCAAACCCACACGCCGGAGTAAGCTAGAAAAACCTGCTAGAAGCCAAGAACCCGAACGCGGACACGAAAGCGGACTCTTGTCACATCTCGCGTCGCGACTCGTCCAGTCACGTTTCTATAATCACGTCTCTGGTCACTTCTCTAGTCACGCCTTTGGTCACGTCATTTGTCACGTCTCTCGTAGCATCTCAGGCCACGTCTCTTGTCATGACGTTCGTCAAACCTTTCATCATGTGTCTCGCCCCGCCTCTCGTCACGACTCTGTCACGTCTCCCATCACGTCTTTCTTGGCGACTCCGTCATGTCTCTTGTCATACCCCTCGAGTCGCGTCTCTGGTCTTTTATCACGTGTCTCGCCGCGCCCGTCTCTTGTCGCATCTCTCGTCACGTGTCTGGTCACGCCTTTTCTTGTTTTTTGTCGCGACTCTCCTCGCACATCTCTTGTCACATCCATCACATCCATCGTCAAGTTTGTCAAGTTTGTCAAGTCTGTCAAATCCGGCGAGTTTTGGCCATTTTTGGAACTTTTAGACGACTTCTAAGCCGACTTTGCCCGAATTTTAGGCCACTTGACAGACTTGATAGACTTGACAAACTTGACAAACTTGACAAGCCGATCCGGGCCCCAAAAAAAACTGCAAAAAACCATCGCCAAGCCATTGCCAGACCATCGCCGGGCCATCGCCGGGCCACGCACAGACCACGTACGGGCCACGTACAGGCCACAGGCGTGCCACATGCGTGCCACATGCGTGCCATATGCGTGACACAGCCATTGCCGGGCCATCGCCAAGCCATCGCTGCACGAACGAATCCGGAAGTTATATGGCGAAAGCCAGACTGCTTCCGGAGCATGGCGGTCACCACCCTGCCGTCAAGCCTGCGCAGGACATGGCAAATGGCGGCGTGTGGCAACCTTCCTGGCGACGCAAGTAAAAAGTCGAAGCACAACAATCTCAAGGACGTCCGCGATGCTTTGGACAGGACCTTGATTGATGCAGTGGGCATATCCACAAGTCCAACCCAGAACGGTAAGCCTGATAAGGAACAAGCCAGGCTCGTTTCCATGCTTCGGTGCTGTGGAAGGCCCTACTTTCGAACTGGAACAAGCGAAGACAAGAGTGGGTGGCAGATCGAGAGCTCCTCGCATCGACGTGGACTGTCTAAAGGTCTCTATGTTTTTGTACCGAATGTCCCTGGGACAGTCCTCTCACAGATGGACAAACATGGAGAGCCTGGCCCCGTGCATCCTGAAATCTTTGCACATGCTAACATTTTGAGCTGTCAAACGCCTTGTCCAATCAAGCGGTTCATCTCGCAAACTGTCGCTGTACAACGGTGAACACATGCAACCCAGTCACAACGTGTAAACCTACTCACGGTACATGCAGGGATTAGCACCCCGCCTTGAAATGCCTTGAAATCCACATGGAAAGGGATTTCATCCTTTTCTCCACGCATCAGCTGAGATTTCAACAGTCCTGATGCGAACGAGCGAATGAGACAGCCTGCCATTGGCATAAAAGCTTCTCAAACAAAAGCTCAAGTGAAACCTAGGCTCTAAGCCCTTTGCAGTAAACCGGGACTCCGTTATCGCACGCCTCCATCCTTTGCTTTCCGCTTTGATGCAGTTGCACCCTGTCTTGTGCTGCTTTTGCCACCAAACTCAGCTCTGTCCAAGTAATGGCAAGTGTGGCACTTCTTGTAGCGCCTTGCAACTGCAGTGTTCTCCTCAATCTCGATGAGTATGCTCTTCACGAGCCATTTGCAGTTTCGTCTGTGATAATGCTTTCCAAACTCAGTGATGAACACAATGTTCTCTTCTTTGACCTTCGCAGTTCCAAACCACGCTGAAATCTTGCCGTAGCCACATTTCATCAAGTAAAAACATCCATAAGAAATGCAAACTGCCATCCATGCAATACTGCAAAAGAAAATCGCATCCATGATCCAATCATGCTGATTGTCCAAACCATTGGGCTCATTGTCTCTGCTCAAGGCGTCGTGCTCGATCCTCTCGCTGCCGCCAGGCTGCAGTAAAATACTGATCATCCCAGCTGCGAACACTCTCTTTGCCGTCTGTGTGATCGACGTGCTACTCGCGCCTTCAAAAACCTCATGGCCACTCAAATCAGATCTAATCCTCCTGATGGCCAACCTCGTGTTCTCCTTCATCATGAGGGCCTCGTACTCACCAAAACCTACAGGCACCCTTCGAACTCGCCCGACACAATGCCGACCAAGAAACTCAAGATTTTCACCCGATCTCGGCTCAAAGCCTTCGTGTTCAAGTCCGCCACATTTGTTGCCGTGGGAACTGTTCCGACTTGGAAAAAGCCCTGCGCCACTCGCTGCTGCATCCACAACACCTGGCCACTCAGATGGCGAATACGACCTGCACCAATCCTTCCAAGCACTCCCCTTGCCGCCGACGAATCAGTAAGCAAATAAACCCCAAGAGGTTTCTCATAAGTGCAAAACTTGATGATGTTCGAAAGGTAGATCGTATCACAACCAGCACTGACTGTGGAATAATATTCAGCCTCGCCACTGCTCAGTGATATTGTGCGTTGAGATCGCGAAGAACTGTACACACAATTCTTGTTGAGCAGAAACACAGCAGATGACGTCGACTTTCTGGTTTCTTTGTCTCCACTCCAGTCACTGTCCGTGCATGTCTCCAAGACCATCGCAGAAGGACAGCGTTTCATCACTAGCCCATCATACAGAATCGGCTGTTCAAAGCAAATTGCATTGTACCTCACACCAACCAAGTAGAAGCAGAGATGTTTCAAAAGTTTCCACCCCTCAGCACCTGGATGAGCCATGCACTGTGCCAACGTCTTGATGCAATACTGGCAATCAACCAAGTCCGTGCTCATATAAAGCAACAGTCCAACCGCCGCCCTGTACTTGCTTGCCGACGGTTCCTCCAAAGGATTGTCCGCCAGCTTGGCTTGAGCACCTCCACTAGGCATTGGTGCTGCCCTCGGGTTCACCCTGTCCGGATTGATATTCATCAGCTCGAACAGCTTTGTGAAATTCTTCTGGTGGGGCTGAATGATAAACCGCAGTGAGCGATGGTATATCAGCTTCCTCTTCAAGAACCACAATTCCTGTCCGGGCTTGGTGATGAGCTCATACGTCACCTTGTATCTGCTTTCCACTGCGGGCACCAGTCTCTCCATGATAAATTCCTCAGTGCCAATTCCAAGCATATCATCCACATGCAAAAGACCATTGAATCCTTCAGCTGCTCGCAAAACTGAAGGGCAAACTGTGCATCCTTCCACTCCGACTTTCTCCTTCACGAAACTTGTAAACGCTCCATGCCACTCACGCGCACCATCACGCTGCCCTGGTAACAGCTTGTCCAGCTGAAATGTCCATTCCTCCCCATCAATCCATGCATTCACACAAGTGGGGATTTGCTGATCCACTGTCAAATATGCATCGCTAATATCCAACGCAATCATCACCCAGTCCAAACCTTCTGCTTTCTTGTGTTGAAACAGGGCCGGCAACAATCGAATGACCAAACTTGACGTCGCCGGTGCAAATAGCTGCTGCCGATGCGGATCATCCCAGTGGAATTCTCGAGCAACGAACCTAGCCCGACGCATAAACTTCGGAACTTGGTCTTGCTGCTTCGGCCTCCAAGTTGTCACGAACTTCGTACTGAGTGTTCTCAATCCCAACTCCTGCGCCTCCTGTTTGCTTATGGGCTTCAAAACACCCATGGTCATGAGTCTGTCCACCTCCATGCGCTTAGCGAGATCATCTATCGCCTGCAAGTCACTTTCCGCCAACTGCGGCTCCTCGCCCCCGGGACCAACCGGGTAGTAAAGAAGCTCCGAATCTCCTTCCGAACTCTTGAATCCTTGCTCTGCCTCCACATCGCCAGTGAGCTGGTGGTCATGTTCTATCATCGTCTCAGCTTGCTGCTCATCATAGGGCAATTCCAGCACCTCGTCCTCATGATGCAGTTCTTCATCTCCGACAACACACAAAACTCCTGGCTTTGAAGCAGAAGAATGACCTTGGGCTCTATCTTAGCCGCTTTCACCTTTGGTTGCACCACATCTGTTGTTTTGAACGCACTCTTTCTCGGATTCGCTGCCGGCTCGCTCTGATCCTCGGACTCACCCTTTTTCGCACGCGTTGCAGTGCGCTCGTCCGGGACCACCGTCTCAGGGTCTGATGCAGCTTCATCCCCTTCTCCAGTTGCTCTGTCACCTGGAAAACCGATGACCAACGCCTTTCAAAGGGGCTTCATCCGGCAAAACCTCCATAAATTGCTCTTCTTCACCATCAACATCCTGTTCAGGCTCAGCAGCACGCCTCGGCCTTCCAAATCCCAGATGACCTCCAAGGTAACCAGGGTAATCCCAGGGCATGCCTCTGAGTGTTGCTGCCAGCCCTGCATCCCACTTTTGCTCTGCTGTGAGACGCCTGATGGACCGCGTCAAAACCAGTCCTCCCCCATGGAATCCTGCTCCGGCCGTTGACACCAGATGCATGTCGCTTGTAGCGACCTTGCCCAGCCATATGCTCTTTACCCAGGAAGGGTTTCCTTTGTTCTGCACTTTCATGTAAGCCAAAACGCACTCACCGAACGCTGCAACTTTGCCTCGGTAAATCAAGCCTGATGAAACTCGCTCCATTGGCGTCATACCTTGCACCACATGAAAGCGATTGTGGGTCCATGCGCTATGCAACCATGCCCATGCGTGAAGCGGGTCAAAAGTGCCAACGTTGCATTTGCAACCTTCCTCCATCTGAGCAAGAAAAATATTGCACTGGTACCTCAACGCTTGCACTGAACGCTCCACTGCACCGTTCGCCTGATGGTCGCCGCGCGGGCTGTTCCGCAAAACAGTCTTTGCACCATATTTCAGCCTGTGCTGTTGTACTCGCTCCTGCAAATTGACACAAGAAGGCTCTCCATCTGTCATGAAAATGAGCCCTGGATATCCGAGGTAAGCCATAAATCTGCACACCTCCACAACCAACTGTGTCATCCACTTTCCGCCTTTCTGAGCCGTTGGGATTGCATGCACACATTTGCTGTCGCGATCGTGCAAAACCAAACAACAAAGTTTGGACGCTTTGTCGTCCCGAGACCCCGCCTTCTCTGGATCCCGTGACGTGTAACAAAAATCCGCACTGACCAAAGGCAACGCTCTGCTCGAATCGTCAACCTTCTCATGTTTGTCCTGCCTAGACTTGAATGCAGCACAATGATGGCACCACGCCTGAAAAGGGTAATGCGTGAGTTCATGCTCAGCCACCTGCTCCGGTGTAGGCGAAGCCACACCTGGTGGAGAGTTCGCCTTTCGCTTCTCTCCCTGCAAGATCTCATTGTGCACCTTCTGTTCTGCTCTCATGTCTTGCGCCTTCAAGTGCTGACCCAGACGCTTCAAAATAATTGCTTTGCCTCCAGACTTTCCAATACCACACTTCGTGCATGCTTCCCTCAAGACCGATAAAGTGTCCTTCATTGTCAACATCTTGCCTTCAAACTCCACTTCATGCTCATCAACTGGAACCAATGCTTCTGCTGGCACATCTCTCCGAGCCTCATCCACTGCAGCTTCCTCAGCCGGGTTGGCATGTTCCGCAGGCCTGTCACTCGGGGCAGCTTCTGCCTGAACATTCACCGCACTGCTTGCTGATGCAGATCCACCCGGAAATGATGCCAACGACTCAACATCGAAACCAAGCTTCGCAGTGTCCTGATATCCTCGATGAGCAAGAGTGATCAGCTCGGTGGGCTCCTGCAGCTCTTCGATCTTACCTGAAACATTCTCAAGCTCACTCAAACGGTCTGCAAACTCGATAACCCACCATCTCCCATTCTGCTTGATGAGAGTTGACCTTCTGTCCACTTCAGCTCGCGGCAAGCTCGCTGCCACGTCTGTGAAGTTCATGCCGAACAACTTCACTGCCCAGCATGTTTCGCTAATCTGCTTCCAACCTGTTCCAATCTCTGCAAGCTCAGGCCTCAACGTGGCCGCTACCTGATCGCTCTCGTTTGTGCTCTGACTAACGGCACAAATGGATCCTGAGATACACAAGGAATTTCGTTTGTAGAATGCGGGCAACTCCACCTCCTGGTTCCACAGTTTAAGCTCTCCCTCCTTAGTACCGACCTGCCAGCCAGCTCGCAAAAGCTTGCACACAGAAACCAAGGGGTGAGATACCTTCGCGACTATGAACTCCTCCCGCAGAACAAACGTTCCCTTGTTCGACTGCACATGAATGTCTGCAATCCGTCTCTGACTGATTCTGAGGTCATTTCCCTGTGCGTCCTTGAACTTCCCCGGCCTTGCAGGTGCTCGCGAACCTACACAACTCATTTCTTCAGGAAGCACGCTCACGTCTGCACCACTGTCCAGAATCACATCTATTGGGTTTGCAGTTGAATCGCCATGCACTGCACGAACAATTCCATTCTCATCTGAAAACCCATGAAAACTGCACATAGATGTACCACGCATTTCTGTACCATCTGACATGTATGCAGCACACTCTGAGACCGACACGTCCGCAAATCCTGATTGGATACCTTCTGCACATTCCCACTGCAAACCTCCATCCGAATAAGTCATATCGAAACATTGCACTGCAGAATCCGAAATACCCGCAAATGAAATCATGCGCACATCATAAAATGCAGCATCTTCCTGCTCGTCGTCCATCTCATAAATTGTCAAATCAAAAACATCTGTACCATCGTCCATAGAATATACCCTTCTCACCGACTGCTGAGCTGTTTTGTACGTGCCTGAGGTCGACCCGCTCCCCGCACTAACAGTGGAAGCAGCCGATGAAGTGCCATGGTCCATGTAGGCCTGATGCGACTCCTCAGCACGTTTCACGCTTGCCTGCTCCTGATCTTTCTTGTAGCGAAAACAATCCCGCTTCCAGTGTCCGGTTTTGCCGCAGTACAAGCAAGCATCGCCAGCAACCATGTCATAGGAACCTTTTCCTGTCTTGCCTTTCGAGTCCTTGCCTTTGCTGTTGTTGTACTTGCCTTTGCCCTTGGATTTTCCACCTTTCTCAAACTTTCCTTTCGAGAACTGGCCTTTTTGATCGCCTTTGTGCTTGCCGTTTCCCTGCTTGCCCCAGCCACCTTTGATCCTGTCAACTTCCATGTTGCTACTTGTGTCCTCGCTGTGTGGCTGGTCCTTGATGTGGAACATGCTGTTGATGGGATTTGCCCATTGAAGTCTCCCAACGTTGTACCAAACTGCAAAGCTGTGCGTAGCTTGAGCCCTCAGTGACCACAATGTTTGTGTAGGCCTTCAAAGGGCCACTCAAGCATCTAAGCAAAACCGCCATGCGATGGTTATCACTCAACTTGCTCGCTGTAACACGCTCGTACTCCTGTTCAGCCTCCTGCAACCTTGCCAACTGATTGCTAAGTCCCTGTTTCATGGAGAAAGCAGGCCAATTGTTGATTGCTTGCAACAAAGCCAACGCACGTGTACGGGCCAGGGGCTGCAGGTCTTCGCTTATCAGTCTGTAAGCCTCAAAGCCATTCAAATCTGGAACAGTCTTCAGTATCTGAATGCCTCGTTCATGTAAAATGCCAGCAAGCAATGAGTACAGTAGATTGCTTCTAGAAGACGTTTCTTCGCTCATATCAGTCATCAAAACTGGTCCGATTCCAAATCTGCATGAAAACCAGGGTCAAGGGCACTCAACCAACGCTCGAATGTCCAACTCCAGTTCTTCCACTTTGCTAATTCTTCCTCTCTCGAGGCCGCAACAAACGGTTCCGGATTTCTCAAAATGCGTACCAGATCTTTTCCCGAGATGTTCTGACCGCTCACATTCCGTGCTGCCTGCGCCGTCAAATTGTCTGCCTGCAACTGCACCAAACTCTGAATAGCCGCCTGATTTGCCCTAGCTGTCTCTATAGCAAGCTCGGCCATTGCACGAATCTGTGCCATAGGATCTCCAACAGTCGGGCTTGATGACGCCGCTCCGCCATCCGCCATGTCGTAAGCCTTCCGAAGACCCACTCGCCAAATCGCCCGTCTAACGAGCAATCACTCTCACCAGCACAGTTGTAAAAGCAAACAATCAAATGGCGCCGCTACACGGACGCTCAGTGTCTTACCGAGCTCCGCTACCATGCTAACATTTTGAGCTGTCAAACGCCTTGTCCAATCAAGCGGTTCATCTCGCAAACTGTCGCTGTACAACGGTGAACACATGCAACCCAGTCACAACGTGTAAACCTACTCACGGTACATGCAGGGATTAGCAGCACAGAAGTTCAAGATGCACTGGTGAAATGTCAGTTTCAAAGAACGTTGGCTGACGAACTTCGGACAGGTTTGCCTCGAACCGGACCGTCCTCGGACCTGATTCTCGTCGCGCCGGGGCTGCCAAGGGCGATCATCATCAAGGCCATGGTGCACGTGAACGCCGTGTAATCAACTTGCAAGGGTCTGGGCCATCCCAGGAAGGCCACGCATATCAAGCGGGCTAAGCATTAGCGTAGCTGTTTTGCTGCGCCTTTTGCTCCACCGAAAAGCTCGGCGCAGGCCTGGCATTCGTCCAACACCAACATTCGACGCATAGGGTGAGACAAGACGCCAAGCAGTTTGGCCCACTGCAGTCCAAAGCGAGCCACGGCAGAAGGAGCCCTGGACGCATGGGGGATGTCCCAGCAGATGAACCTGAAACCTGTAACAGGGCCTTGGACTTCCTCTTTCGGCACTGCAAACGGAACATGGTCATCAAGACCCAGGACGACTCTGTAAACTGAACAAGGGGCATGGAAACGGGCATCAGCAGGCCCCAGGCATGTACTCCTTCCAGGCCTGCCTGTTCCGCAGCTGTGGTGACCTCCGTCCAGGAATCATGCAACACCAAAGTGTGGACCAGGGTGAAAAGGGGGGCGCTAAACCCACCAGCAGGGTTGCGCACATCCCTAGCGGCAATCAACTTTTCCACATCCGCTCTCCGCGCGGGCTCTAGCCGGGCAAGCTGGGATAAGTGAACTGCCAATTGCCAGGGATGCATCCAGCACGAGTTGCGTCGGAGGCCCATGGCCCGCTCCAGCATTTTCTTCCTGGCCACTCGTGTTGCTGCAGCACGGTCCATGCCCCCCGGAGTCTGCATAGTGTCGCCCGCCCACCCTCGCAAGCATTTGCAAGCGGCAGTAGTAAGGAAAGAAGGCTTACAGTAACAAAAATATTTTGGCTTTTTGGTCAAAAAGCCCTGCAAAACAGCCAAATTCTCTATTTAGCTGAACGTTTTTCCGATGTCACCGGTCTTTGTCACCGCTCCGTTTTTGGTGCAAAAAGCGCTCAAAACGGCCAACTCCGAAAAGTTCGTTTTTCCGTGTCAGACGGCAAGTGTGGTGCCTGAGTTTCTAGATTCGCTCGATTCCGTTTTCTGCCCGGAAAAGCAGGCAAATTCCATCCCGCCGAGCTTGTCACCGTTCGTCACCGCTTCGTCACCGAAAAAGTGCGCAAAAGCGGCCCAGTTCCCGAGTTCCGGAGGACTTCGTTCTTCGCAGGGTTTTCCGCGGCACGACAGCCAGCCGAGTGCTCGTAACGCGGCAGCCCGCCGAGGTTTCGGCTTGTGACACGTCAGCCTGCCGAACTTGTCACCGCCTTTGTCACCGCTCCGTTTTTGGTGCAAAAAGCGCTCAAAACGGCCAACTCCGAAAAGTTCGTTTTTTCGTGTCAGACGGCAAGTGGGATGCCTGAGCCTCTAGTTTCGCTCGTTTTCGGTCGAAAGCAGGCTCCAGGCAAAAGCGCGCAAAAGCGGCCAAGTTCCCGAGTTCCAGAGTTTGTTCTTGGCAAGTTTGAGTCAATAATGGAACGGGCTGATTCAGTAATGGGCAAGGTTGGTTCATTAATGCCCGGCCGCAGGTGGTGCAGAGACATAACCACTGAGACAAGGGAGCTGCTAGCGAGGCCGGCTCCGCGGCTTCGGTCTGAGCGAGGCCGGCTCCGCGGCTTCGGTCTAAAAGTCCACCGAGGTCGGAATTCCGACTTCGCTCTCCCACCGAGGTCGGAATTCCGACTTCGCTCCCTGCAGGCAGCGACGCGGGCCTGGTGCGGGCCTGGCCTGGCGCGGGCCTGGCGCGGGCCTGGTGCGGGTCTGCCGCAGTGCCGAAGGTCGGTCAGCGGCCTGCTTCTCGCCAGGGCGCTGGCAGAGTTTTCAGTCAATCCTGCGCCCAGCCCAGGATTGCCCCCCTCAATCCTGTTGTTAGCACAGGATTGCTCCACTCAATCCTGTTGCCTTTTTTTTTTTTTGTTAATTTTTATTTTTTTTATTTTTTTTATTTTTTTTTATTTTTTTTATTTTTTTTATTTTTTTATTTTTTTATTTTTTTTACCCTGCACGCGGAGCGAGCTCCCCATCACTATCGCCATGGATGTTCCTGGACGATAGCTATTTGACCAAGAAAAAGGGTGAAACGAAATCATTGCCCTCGTGCCAGCTTCTTGAGAGTCTTGATCTTCCAGGCCTTCTGAGGCGTGGAGAAAGCACATTCAGCGAACTCCGGCGGCGTGTAAAGAAAAGGTCCAGAAGGCAAAGTAAGCTGCGCTGTGCAGGAGTCAGTCCGACACGATTGCAAATAAGAAATGCATTTGCGAATCACATTATCAGCAAAAGGCAACTTTGGCCTTATAGGAAATACCTGAATATTCCGCAGCGGATAAAAAATCTTCAAGTGTTGAATGTTCTTTTGCTGCGGAACAGGAAGGTGCCACTTTCCAGAAATGGCGTCCAGTTGTCGCATAATGGTAACGAGGGTATTTGCTTGTTGGCCCGCGCTTCTTTTTTCCGGTGGGAGCATTCCGATCTCTGCCGAATCATAATCCCTAAAGGATGTATATGAAGTCTTGGAGTTTATTTTCCAAGGCACCGGAAGTCTCAAACCAGTGTAGAGCGTGAAGCTCAAAAGCAATTCCAATGCGTTAATGCCTGGATCAGCTTCAAGAGGAGATTGTCTGGATGACCACTCTATGGTATGCATCCAAGTCCAAATTGCATCAGCAACGAGTTGTCCAGCCGGGATAGCCTGCCTGAAATGGTCTGGCAGGGGCTCAAAGATAACATGAATGGGGTCCTCAGTGGGCCAGGCAGTAAACAGTTGTATGGTCTCATCAAAGGGTCTTGACTGGACTTGATCTGAAGATGCAACGCCAGCGCATGGCTTTTCGAGTTCCTTTTGTTCGTTGTCTATCTTGAGGCGATCCAGTGCCAAATAAAAAGAATAAACCTGATGTAAATCAAATTCAACATCGTGCACAGAGTGTTTGATACATTGTAATGAAATGCGAGCCTCAGGCAGGTCAAGGTCAAGAGCCGCAGATGCAAGTCGGTCAGCAACGTCATTACCAACAACAAGGAAACTGTCGAAGGGGTCGACGGCGTCATGAATCTCACGGTGCGCCTTCACCTTCAATACCCGGAGCTGGTTGGGCAGCCAGCACTGAACAATGTATTGAATAATGTCTTGATTGGCCAGGTGTCTAAAATCCCCAGGTTTTGCATGTGGGTGTTGAGACACCCATTTGAGAATACTGACTGCATATGCGGAATCAGAGTAAACCGTAATCTGACCACTGCATTGCTGGTGGTGAGCCGCAACGATAATAGCAGCAATGGCGTAGAGCTCAGCCCGAGCAATATCTTGCTGGCCTGGGATAATTCCACAACCCAAGGCACAAAATTGATCTTGCAGCGGATGTCCACTAGGAGGTGCTTGCAAAAAACTAACCACTTGTTCATCTGTAGTGAGAAAAGATTGTACCACGGCCCAAGAGGCCCGGCGAGCCAGGGGGATGGAAGGGTTACGACAACCCCCATCCGTAAAGAAAATCAAAGCCGGCAGATCCACTAAGTGACTCGGGATTTCAAGATCAAAATAAACAGGAATAGAATTAAGCTGTTCAGAGATGGCAACCAACCCAGAGGAAACTCCAGCAACAGGGAGATATTTCCAGGCAGGATATTTGTCACGAAGTAGCTCAACTGCGGAAGCATGTTCTTGCCGAATCTCTTGGAAAAAAGGACAAGCAAAGATCACATGATCTGTTGTACACTCAGCTCCGCAATGGTGGCAAACTGGGTTGGACGAAACTGCCCCGTTCCATAAGGTTTTGGCCTGCTGACTGGTAAATGCATTTGTGATGCGCATAGCCAAAAAACCATGCGCACTATCATGAAATTTATTTAATATCTTGATAGTGATTTGTCTGGACATAAGCCATGTCTCAACGCCTCGCCGGTGCGCTATTTGTTGGTACACGAAAATAGGCCACCAGGCCAGCAATCTGGTTTTCAGGACCTTGCGCGAAACTTGCAGAATCTGAATCGGCCGAAATCCGGGAGGTCCCGCAAGAAGACCTGTGTCACTGAGCTTCCACTGAAGCTTTTTCAAATACATTGCACAAGTGGAAATGGGACCAATCGATCTGTGCGGGTGATCATGTTGCAAGAAGCCCAAGAAATCGTGCACGATGTGGGGGTAAGTATCGTGAACCTGCCTAAGGAGAGCAAGAATATTGATGATCACAAAGAAGAAGGGATCAACAAGTTCATGATGAAGGAAACTGCATGCGATCCAATCACAAGCCTGATGCCAGGGTCCAACCACAGCGGAGCAGGCGGCACGGCGCAACCGTTGCATTTCCTTAATCCTGTTGCCAACGCAGGATTGCCCCCGCCAATCCTGTTGCCAACGCAGGATTGCTCCACACAATCCTGCGTCGGGCGCAGGATTGCTCCACCCATTCCTGCGCTGACAGCAGGATTGCCCCGATGCAGCACCAGGGCCTGGAACTGTTCTTGCCCGAGCACAGGCTCGTGATGGAGTCGATGCTCAGGACAAAGGGCAGACCGCTCGCGAAGAGCGTGTCTCGGAGCTCCGAGTGGAAGGCCAGGTCATGCCCCCGCCTCCTCGTGCCATAGTAGTTCATGGTGCGACCGGGGAAGATGTAGGGAGGGTCTGCATAGATCCACTGCCGCGGCGCCAGGCAGGGCAGAGCGCGTAGATAGGCCAGCGCATCCTGGCGCCGCACGGTCACGTTTGTCGGTGGGCGCTGCGCACGCTGCTCAGCGCCAGTGGCCGCTGCTGTGCGAAGGAGCCCCACTTGACGTATGAGCAGGCAGCCCGACGCCCGCTCTGAGCGCCCGGCAGGGATTGCCGGTCGATTTCGTATGCTGGCTCTGTGGGCAGGTCTGGGAGCCCTCTCAGCCTTTTGGGTATGTAACTTGGAAAGCTGGAATATCTTTGGCTGGGGCAGCACAGGCGGCTTGGGCTTGTTCTTGCTGCCCGGGGGCCTGCCTCTTGGCCTTGGCGGCGGTTGCGCTTGCTTCATCGGGTTTTTAATAGGAAATATTTTTTTAAACGACCTTTGCGAAATTAGACGTGATCCAAAAACA